GTCTGGTTTGTTAAGGTCTCTCCGCCTTGGTGGCTGAATAGAGGCAGCCGGCATGTAGCAAAGCCTACCACAGAAGCTGTTTTTTCTGTTTGCTTTGTGCGCGCCGCACATGCTTGCGGAGTGGCGGTTGCTGTGAACAACGCCGGCACTTCTTTCTCAGCTTCGCCTCGAGAAGGTCAGACACGCTGCACAGCTGTGATTGTCGAAGCCGGTGTTTTCGATCACGGCGTGTTCTGACTGCAGATGCGCCGATTGCGCAGCCCAGCCAGAGGTTCAGAAGGTGTGCACCGCGGGTTCAGAAGGTGTGGACCGTGCACCCTTCAACTCCCGCACGGCCGCTTGACGCCATGTTGAAACAGCAGAGCCAGTGACTTCAGACGAAGAAGTGTGATGATTGCACAAGCTTCTGGCGTTAGTGCCACTCCAGATCTGCGGGCATGTCCTTGAAGGATGCGTGGTGGGATATCGCATGCATCTGAACTTGCGTTGCAGATTCCGGCATGGCCCGGGCCATGCGAAAGCGAGACACAGCAACAACCAGAGTTTCTCAGCGAGGGAAAAAGTTGATGCGGAGAGCTGTTGGTTAGAAGCGTCTACGAACATTCAGTAAAATGGAAAGACTTGGGAGTTCTCTTTCCATACCGTTTGTAGCATGACATCTTTTTGAGGTGTTACGGGATGTTTGGGGTGCAGGTAAGATTTGCAGGCCATATTCTACTCTCGCAGCTTTGTGTCAGGAGCTTCTTCATCCTTCTGTCATGCTGAACTATCATTTAAGTGCCTGCTTTTGTACCTCGCTTTCGGCTGAGATGCACCAGATGCGGTCGAGCTGCCGTTGGCCACGCGCCGTTCTGAATGTGCGGTTGAACACAACGGTTGAACGCTGAATATCATTTGTGCCGGTCGGTCGAACGCGCACTAATAGTTGGGTCAAGTGTTTATCTGTCGCCAGGGCCCACATGCGAAGAGCTAGGCAAACCCGACTTCCGTGATACTCTTTCCCCCGGGCATTTTTTCTTTTGGGAAAAGGTCTGAACACATCTCAAGCAGGCAATTGGAAGAATTCGGGGAGACCCTGACACTGAGCGCGAAAGAAAGGCAGACAAAAGAGTCTGAACACTGCAGTGTGTTTACACCTCTTTGCAAAGATGGGGGAACCCCTTATCCCTATCCTCCCCACCAAGGCTGAGCCCGCAAGAAGTGCCGTTTCTGTGCTGGTGTCCGACGCAACTGAAGAACAGGTGGGGCACCCAGGTGCCGAGTGAAAGCAAGAATTTCCATGCCTCTTGGCTGAAGTCAACTGACACAGGCTAGAATTAGGTGCGGCTACAGGTGGTATCGATGTCCTGGGACTGTTTTTTCTCTCTTCGTTGCGCCACTTGGGACCTACTCTTATAGAGGCTCTGTAGGCTCCTCACGCATTGGGCAGATGAAATGCAGAGTAGTTGTAAAGGCAGAACACGAAGCCCTCAGAGCGCCGTAGAGGGAACACTCGCATGAAGAGGGTGGGTTGCGATAGCATGTGGGCATCGGGAGAGCTGTAAGCAATCTACTAATGTCAGATGAAGTCAGAGCTGCGCATGCTGCACATGCCCTGGGCCACGGCTCAAGGACATTGTCCCTTTTATAGCTAGAGTTTTTTTTGGCAAGTGCCGCCATTTAACTGCGTGCCTTCAGTGTGTGCACTCCAGAGCTGACGAGGCAGAGGACGAAGCTACGCTGATCTTTGACTCAGCGATATGGCTATGATCATTCCCGAGGTTCCCATGACGCCACGCAAGTTTCCGGTGGCACCTCGCAAGCATCGCCTCCCCGCACACAGCACGAAACGTGCACTCTGCGTCGTCGATCTGGAGATCGACTTGGGTCAGTCATCGGAGAGCTCCAGCCTTTACTGTCCCCGAGTCAACTTCGCAAGCACGGACCAGGTCGTCGAGATCCCTGAAGGATCTGCGACTGGTCTTCGGGGTCTCCAACAGCTCTCTGCAGCGAAGGCTAGCGGCGAAAGCTTGGGCGAAGCCTGCGAATCTTCTGGACTTGGGCAGCTGACAGCTGGCCGCCACGAAGCCGTGCGTCTCCGCATCGAGCAGCTCTTGGATGCAGAGCCACGAAGAATCAGAGACCGCTCGAAAAGGCGCGCAGATGGCCACCGAGTGGCCTAATGAAAGTTGAGTTAGGAGTCCCTGTCAGCATGATCCAAACTGTAGGTGCCATCGCACAATCCTTATGCGTTCTCCCTGACAGAGACTCTTTTGCAGTTTTGCTGCAACGAGCAGGCACTGGCAATATCCGTCAGCACAGAGTGTAAGATTATGGTTCGCAAGCTCTTTTCAGGGTTTTCTGACTGATGTCCAGCTCGTGCACGGCTTAATCTGCCATCCATTTTCCAGGGCTGCTCATGAAGGCTCCACCTCTCCTATGCCCATGTCTGAAGGGAGGCTGAAACCCGATGTCTTGCAATTTCTGGAAACTTCAACAAATCCCCGAAGATTTCCGGAGAATGCATGCAAGGAAGCGTGCCCATTTGGGTGGCCAGAACATTGCGCATCATGCGCTCCGCTTAGCACTTCATGTCACTGATGCAGTTCAGGTTTTGCGCTGTGTTCGTTGCATTGACAAGGTGTCCTCCAGTGGATATGAAGTCTACCCCGGACGAAATTACTTTAAAACCCTCGACTTATTTAAATTTTTCTTAAGAACTCGTTTTGGGTACACCCCAAACACAGAGGCAGGCTGCCAAGTCAGACAAGATATGCTGAATAGTGGCATCACCATCAACATCAGTGAACAGACTTGGCCTGTCCTGTGCTGAGGGTGCCTCGCCTTTTGCACGTGAGATGCCCGCAGCTGATGGCCTGCGCTTCCCAGATCAGAATCTGGTGCCCTCATTCCCTCATGCTACAGACGACATGCAAAAACAATTCAGGTCTGGGGCCACGAACAGGTGGTGTCCCGGGGTTGTCTGCACTATTGACAAGATATCCACCAAGGGACATCATGCCGCCGCTGAAAACCTCCGCGGTGATTTTTTTTTTAACTCGAGGCGTGTTGAGAACTGAGCCTCGGCCTGTGCGACCTTTATCAGCACGCTGCCGAGATCCGGTGTCCGCGCCTATAATGGGCTTCGAATGTGGCTGGTGTTCAGCCTCGAAGCTGGCACATGACATGCTTCCTTCACACAAGCAATGAACAAGCTCGACCGCAGCTTGCAGCGCTAGAGCTCACCCCGAAACTCGAGGATCGCGGAAAACTGCGGGAGTGAGGCATAGACGCATACGATTGAGTCGAATTGGGGAAGTGTTCGGCTGAGGGTCCTTCAGTGGTCTGTTGCTGCTGATGGTAAGGAGCAGATCTTGACAGGGCCTGCGAAAACATGGAAGCATGTATATATATATATGTATATATATATATATATATTAGATATATATATATATATATATATATATGCTACCCCTCCCCCCATATATCCTACCCTTTTTGGGCTGAATAGAATATTCTGTATTTCTCCCTATCTTAGAAACGTCTACGACTACGATCTTTCAGAAATTGAAAGTCAAAAGCGCAAAAAACAACGATGCTCAGCCCCGAAGAGAACCGATTTCCAAAACCCCCCAATCAAGATGAAACCTGGGATGGGCCTGCAGCCTTCGTCCGCACAGATTGTCCTAGGTTCCGTTCCTAGGAATTCTCTTTCCATACCATGAAAATCATGACATCTTTGTGAGGTGTCACCCAGGATGCAGGTAATATATGCAGCAGCCATATTCTACTCGTAGCTCTGTGCCAGGAGCTTCTTCATCCGTCCGTCATATTTAACTATCCTCATTCAGGTTTAGGCCATCGAGTACACAGCAAGCTCGTAGAGTCGTAGAGTCTGTGTAGATTCGCTTCTCTCCTTTGTATGCTGTGAATTACCTGTTTTTGTAATGCTTCTTTTGGCCGAGATGCAACACCAGATGTGGTCGAGCTGCCGTTCGCCACGCGCCGTTCTGCATGTGCGGTTTAACACAACGGTTGAACGCTGAAAATCTTTCGTGCCGGTCGGTCGAAGGCGCACTTGTACTTGGATCAGGCCATGCACACACGCACACACACAAACACACACACACGTACACATCATTCGTATGCGAAGACCTAGGAACAGGAGACCTCCATGATATTATTTGCCCTTTAAGACAACAAGAATCTGGAAACATTCGAAAACGGCAATCGGAAGAACTAGGTAACACCCTCACACTGCAGGCGCGCAAAAGAAAGAGACAAAAAGAGTCTGAACCGTGCAGTATGTATACACCTCTCTTTACTAGGAGAGCTGCGCACACACAAGGGGGGAACCCCTTTATCCCCATGCTCTCCAGCAAGGTTGAGCCTGCAGTGCCGTTTCTGTGGTACAAGTAGCTGGTTTCCGACGCAGATGAAGAACAGGTGGGGCACCCAGGTCGGCCAAGTGAATGACTTGCCATGCCTTTTGGCTTATGTCAACGTCATACGTCACTTCTACACGCACACTTCTACAGTGATTCTACAGGCTGTAGGTTCGGCTAGAGGTGGTACCGCAGAAGCCTCGATGTCATTGCACTACCACTTGGGACCTACTCTTAGAGGGCCCCGTAATTAGGCGCCTAAAGCGTTGGGCAGATTGGTGCTGGCTGACAAATGCAGAGTAGTTGTAAAGGCAGAACACGAAACCCTCAGTGCACCGTAAAGGGAATTAACCATCTCGCATCAAGTTGAAGAGGGTGGGTTGCAATGGCATGTGGACACGGTGCCCCCACATTCCCCGAGCGGCATCGGGAGAGCTGTAAGCAATCTACTAATGTCAGATGAAGTCAGAGCTGCGCATGCTGCACATGCCCTGGGCCACGGCTCAAGGACATTGTCCCTTTTATAGCTAGAGTTTTTTTTGGCAAGTGCCGCCATTTAACTGCGTGCCTTCAGTGTGTGCACTCCAGAGCTGACGAGGCAGAGGACGAAGCTACGCTGATCTTTGACTCAGCGATATGGCTATGATCATTCCCGAGGTTCCCATGACGCCACGCAAGTTTCCGGTGGCACCTCGCAAGCATCGCCTCCCCGCACACAGCACGAAACGTGCACTCTGCGTCGTCGATCTGGAGATCGACTTGGGTCAGTCATCGGAGAGCTCCAGCCTTTACTGTCCCCGAGTCACCTTCGCAAGCACGGACCAGGTCGTCGAGATCCCTGAAGGATCTGCGACTGGTCTTCGGGGTCTCCAACAGCTCTCTGCAGCGAAGGCTAGCGGCGAAAGCTTGGGCGAAGCCTGCGAATCTTCTGGACTTGGGCAGCTGACAGCTGGCCGCCACGAAGCCGTGCGTCTCCGCATCGAGCAGCTCTTGGATGCAGAGCCACGAAGAATCAGAGACCGCTCGAAAGGCGCGCAGATGGCCACCGAGTGGCCTAATGAAAGTTGAGTTAGGAGTCCCTGTCAGCATGAGCCAATCTGTAGGTTCCTGTGCCATCGCACAGTCATCGCACAATCCTTATGCGTTCTCCCTGACAGAGACTCTTTTGCAGTTTTGCTGCAACGAGCAGGCACTGGCAACATCCGTCAGCACAGAGTGTAAGATTTCGGTTCGCAAGCTCTTTTCAGGGTTTTCTGACTGATGTCCAGCTCGTGCACTGCTTAATCTGCCATCCATTTTCCAGGGCTACTTTTGAAGGCTCCACCTCTCCCATGCCCATGTCTGACGGGAGGCTGAAACCTGATGTCTTGCAATTTCTGGAAACTTCAACGAATCCCGAAGATTTCCGGAGAATGCATGCAAGGAAGCGTGCCCATTTGGGTGGCCAGAACATGGCGCCTCATGCGCTCCGCTTAGCACTTCATGTCACTGATGCAGTTCAGGTTTTGCGTTTTGTTCGTTGCATTGACAAGGTGTCCTCCAGTGGATATGAAGTCTACACCGGACGAAATTTCTTTTTTCCCCTCGACTTATTTATATGTTTCTTAAGAACTCGTTTTGGGTACAAGCCAAACACAGAGGCAGGCTGCCAAGTCAGACAAGATATGCTGAATAGTGGCATCGCCATGAACATCAGTGAACGGACTTGGCCTGTCCTGCGCTGAGGGTGCCTTGCCTTTTGCACGTGAGATGCCCGCAGCTGATGGCCTGCGCTTCCCAGATCAGAATCTAGTGCCCTCATTCCCTCATGCTACAGACCACATGCAAAAACAATTCAGGTCTGGGGCCACGAACAGGTGTCCCGGGGTTGTCTGCACTATTGACAAGATATCCACCAAGGGACATCATGCCGCCGCTGAAAACCTCCGCGGTGATTTTTTTTTTAAACTCGAGGCGTGTTGAGAACTGAGCCTCGGCCTGTGCCGACCTTTATGAGCACGCTGCCGAGATCCGGTGTCCGCGCCTATAATGGGCTTCGAATGTGGCTGGTGTTCAGCCTCGAAGCTGGCACATGACATGCTTCACACAAGCAATGAACAAGCTCGACCGCAGCTTGCAGCGCTAGAGCTCACCCCGAAACTCGAGGATCGCGGAAAACTGCGGGAGTGAGGCATAGACGCATACAATTGAGTCGAATTGGGGAAGTGTTCGGCTGAGGGTCCTTCAGTGGTCTGTTGCTGCTGATGGTAAGGAGCAGATCTTGACAGGGCCTGCGAAAACATGGAAGCATGTATATATATATATATGTATATATATATATATATTATATGTGAGAGAGCCCTTTCGGGTCTATTTTGCGTATCCTCTTGCTTGCCTTCTATTTAATTAATTTAATTAATTTAATTAATTGAATTAATTTAATTAATTTAATTAATTTACTTAATTTAATTAATATAATTAATTTAATTAATTTAATTAATTTAATTAATTGAATTAATAGAAATCAACAAATTTCTTTTGCGAATTCAATTAATTTAATTAATTCAATTAATTGGATTAATTGAATTAATTGAATTCGAAAAACCTCTTTCGCTAATTCAATTAATTCAATTAATTCAATTAATTGGATTAATTGAATTAATTGAATTCGAAAAGCATCTTTCGCTAATTCAATTAATTCAATTAATTCAATTATCTGCTTTTTTTTAAAAAACAAAGATTTTCCCTCTATTGAATTAATTCAATTAATTCAATTAATTCAATTAATTCAATTAATTCAATTAATTGGATTAATTGAATTAATTGAATTCGAAAAGCATCTTTCGCTAATTCAATTAATTCAATTAATTCAATTAATTGGATTAATTGAATTAATTGAATTCGAAAAGCATCTTTCGCTAATTCAATTAATTCAATTAATTCAATAATTGAATTAATTGAATTAATTGAATTAATTGAATTAATTGAATTAATTGAATTAATTGAATTAATTGAATTAATTGAATTAATTCAATACGCGGGAAATCCGGATTTCGATTAGGGAACCCCACATAATTGAATTAATTGAATTAATTGAATTCGAAAAACCTCTTTCGCTAATTCAATTAATTCAATTAATTCAATTAATTCAATTAATTGGATTAATTGAATTAATTGAATTCGAAAAGCATCTTTCGCTAATTCAATTAATTCAATTAATTCAATTATCTGTTTTTTTTAAAAAACAAAGATTTTCCCTCTATTGAATTAATTCAATTAATTCAATTTCAATTAATTGGAATTAATTGGATTAATTGAATTAATTGAATTCGAAAAGCATCTTTCGCTAATTCAATTAATTCAATTAATTCAATTAATTGGATTAATTGAATTAATTGAATTCGAAAAGCATCTTTCGCTAATTCAATTAATTCAATTAATTCAATTAATTGAATTAATTGAATTAATTGAATTAATTGAATTAATTGAATTAATTCAATACGCGGGAAATCCGGATTTCGATTAGGGAACCCCACATAATTGAATTAATTGAATTAATTGAATTCGAAAAACCTCTTTCGCTAATTCAATTAATTCAATTAATTGAATTAATTCAATTAATTCAATTAATTGGATTAATTGAATTAATTGAATTCGAAAAGCATCTTTCGCTAATTCAATTAATTCAATTAATTCAATTATCTGTTTTTTTTTTTTTAAACAAAGATTTTCCCTCTATTGAATTAATTCAATTAATTCAATTAATTCAATTAATTCATTTAATTCAATTAATTCAATTAATTCAATTAATTGGATTAATTGAATTAATTGAATTCGAAAAGCATCTTTCGCTAATTCAATTAATTCAATTAATTCAATTAATTGGATTAATTGAATTAATTGAATTCGAAAAGCATCTTTCGCTAATTCAATTAATTCAATTAATTGAATTAATTGAATTAATTGAATTAATTGAATTAATTGAATTAATTGAATTAATTGAATTAATTCAATACGCGGGAAATCCGGATTTCGATTAGGGAACCCCACATAATTGAATTAATTGAATTCGAAAAACCTCTTTCGCTAATTCAATTAATTCAATTAATTGGATTAATTAAATTAATCGAATTAGTTAGATTAATTAAATTAATTAAAGTGTCCATAATCTGAGTTATCATAATTATGATAACTTTAGGTTCCCAAACCTGAGTTATCATGATTATGATAACTTTAGGTTCCCAAACCTGAGTCATCATAATTATGATAACTTTAAGGTCCCCAGTCTGAGTTATCATGATTATGATAACCTTAGGTTCCCAAGCCTGAGTTATCATAATTATGATAACTTTAGGTTCCCAAACCTGAGTTATCATAATTATGATAACCTTAGGTTCCCAAACCTGAGTTATCATAATTATGATAACTTTAGGTTCCCAAACCTGAGTTATCATAATTATGATAACTTTAGAGTCACCAACTGGAGTTATCATAATTATGATAACTCCTTAGGGTCCCACCCCTGAGTTATCATAATTATGATAACTTTTAATTCGCAGCTTCACCTTAAGAGAGAGGCGCGCGAATAGGGGGGTGTAATATCAAGCGATTGTGTGCTACAATATGGAGTAGAGGAAGTGTGCAGGTAGGTGTGCGGGACGATGAAATAAGACTAGTGAGTAGAATGATGAAGCGTTGAGCTCCGAAATCTTAAGGACCATGGCTTGTGATTTGAATCCTTGCAGCAAAAAAAGAGCTTAAAAACTTAAGGACCAAAGCTTGCGGTTTAACTATTCTGGGCAAAAACTGGACCCCAAATCATAGGGACCAGGGCTTGCGATTTGACCTTTTGGAGCAAAAACTGGGCCCAAAATCTTAGGGACCAGGGCTTGCGATGCTACTCTTTGGAGTAAAAAACTCGCCCAAAATCTTCAGGACCAGGGCTTGCGATTTGACTCTTTGGAGCAAAAACTGTGCCCCAAATCTTAGGGACCAGGGCTCGATTTGGCCAAATTTTGCCGGGCAGCCTGCGGGCAAAATTTGGCCAAATCGGGCTGCTCTTCGTATGCCATGAGAAATGCGCGGCTCGATTTGGCCAAATTTTGCCCGGAGGCTGCCCGGCAAAATTTGGCCAAATCGAGCCGCGCATTTCTCAGCGCGTACGACGAGCAGCCCGATTTGGCCAAATTTTGCCCGCAGACTTCCCGGCAAAATTTGGCCAAATCGAGCCGCGATAGTTTAAATAATTTCGGGCCTCCAGAAAGGCGCGGCTCGATGTGGCCAGATTTTGCCGGGCAGTCTGCGGGCAAAATTTGGCCAAATCGGGCTGCTCGTCGAACGCGATGAGAAATGCGCGGCTCGATTTGGCCAAATTTTGCCGGGCAGCCTCCGGGCAAAATTTGGCCAAATCGAGCCGCGCCTTTCTGAAGGCCCGAGATTTTTAAACTATCGCGGCTCGATTTGGCCAAATTTTGCCGGGCAGCTTCCGGGCAAAATTTGGCCACTCTTTGGAGCAAAAAATGCGCCCAAAATCTTAAGGACCAGGGCTTGCGATTTGACTCTTTGGAGCAAAAACTAGGCCCCAAATTGTTAGGGACCAGGGCTTGCGATTTAACTCTTTGGAGCAAAAATTAGACCCAAAATCTTAAGGACCAGGGCTTGCGATTTGACTCTTTGGAGCAAAAACTAGGCCCCAAATTGTTAGGGACCAGGGCTTGCGATTTAACTCTTTGGAGCAAAAATTAGACCCAAAATCTTAAGGACCTGGGCTTGCGATTTAACTCTTTTGGGCAAAACATGAACCCAAACTCTCATGGACCAGGGCTTGCGATTTGACTCTTTTAAGCAAAACATGAACCCAAACTCTCAGGGACCAGGGCTTGCGATTTGACATTTTGGAGCAAAAACTGGTCCCAAAATCTTAGGGACCAGGGCTTGCGATGCTACTTTTTGGAGCAAAAAATGCGCCCAAAATCTTAAGGACCAGGGCTTGCGATTTGACTCTTTGGAGCAAAAACTAGGCCCCAAATTGTTAGGGACCAGGGCTTGCGATTTAACTCTTTGGAGCAAAAATTAAACCCAAAATCTTA